AGAAAAAGTAGTAAGTTAACAGCTATAGCTAGATAGCAGGATTTAATCCATTATACTTTTTCCATGGCTTCTTCCTCTCCCCCATTTTCTGCAATGACCATGTATCACTTCATAGCATAGCCAGGAAAGGCAATCGATACACGCACATGCTCAGGAGGAACAGCACCAATGAGAAAGAATCAGGCTTGGCACTCTGCAGCCTGCTTCTCAAAGCTGCAGCTCCCCCCACCCCGCCCCCCTGCAGCCTGCCCTTCTCAGAAAGGCAACCTTCCCAGACAAGTATTGATTTCCTTTGGTTCAAAGCTAGGTCCTGCCTGGCTTCCAAGTCTGCTTGGCCACTGTGGGACCAGGAGATAGTGCGCACAGAACTCCCTGCTTTTCTAGACCATTACCTCCTATCCACTGTTGCATCCACCCATGCCCGGTACCTAGCAGAGCCCAGCCAGCCCCACTGACATAAGATTGGAAAGAAGCCACATCCCAAGCTCAATGGAGAAACCGAGACAGTATGACAGTTAATAGCCAAGGTATCCATGTGAGACAGGAAGGCCTGATCAAAGTTGCAAGAGGTGGGGGTCTAGGGCTGGACTCCTGGAAGCTGAAGGAAACACAGAGACAGAAAGGAGTGGACACTGGAAGTGCTGTTGTGGCTGAAGTGGTAGAGTGCTAGCTTTGAGCTGATAGAGCTGAGGGACAGCGCCCAGGCCCAGAGTTCAAGCCCCAGGACCGCACCCCCACCCCCCAAAAAAGAAGAAAGGAGTGGATACACTTGAAAGACAAAGAAAGAGGATGGGAGGGGGCCAAGGAGGACAGGGAAGCAAAGAAAAGGTGTCACACAGTGGTCTCCGCCCAGCAGAGGCCCGGTGGACCAAGAAGTGGGAGGGCCCACCATTCACCTGCCAGAATCACCCCAAAGGTGCAGGCCTATGCCCTAGGCACATCCAACACCTACTTGTACCCAGCAGACATGGCCAGGCTGCTGCTCAAATACACACTCCTCTAGCCGTGGTATGTGTATATGTGTGTAAGTACGTACTCCTAAACATGGCTGGAATCCAAGCAACAATGCTGAGTGCTGTCCCATGGGTGGGCTGCCCTGACCCTCTGTCTAGAGGAGTCCCAGGGGAATTGCAAACCTTTATCAGCTCTGGGAAGCCTAGAGCAGAACCCTGTCATCTGTTGAGGGACAGCACCACCTAGTGGACAGGAGGCACTCTTGCCATGCCCCCTTACCATACCACTCTGCTCCAGGGCATGGGGCTGATCAAACCTTGCTTGGTCCCTTCCCTTGCCTATGTAATGGGGGTACCAAGCTTTGGCTACCTGGGTTAACTATGATTTGCAGGAGGCTCTGAGAATCCCCAGGTCTGTGGGTTGAGGGAGAGGAAGGAGTGGCTGTGCCTAGAAAAGCTTTACCTATCTTCTGTTATTTTGTGTGAAGATAACCGCAAACAAACACAACTACACTTTCAGTTTAGTCCCTCCTTCTGGGGTTGTACATCTAAGGCAGGAGCTTATATTTAGGACTATGCCTTGAAGCTAAATGGCTCTCTGCTAGAATTCTAACCTGCCACCTCTCCATTGACAAAGCAATTGCTATTGTTAAGGAGTTGTACAAGGTGTTACAATTCTATATGTCCCTATCTCGACGTTTTTTTCCCCAGCAAGGCAAAGTTTACTTCCATTCAGAAGGATACGCGACTGGTAAGCACCCCTACATGGACTTTCTTTTTGGTGGGTCATGGGGCTTGAACTCAGGCCTGGGCACTGTCCCTGAGTTTTGCTCAAAGCTACTACTTTTGAGACACAGCACCACTTCCGTTTTTCTGGTGGTTAATTGGAAGTAAGAGTCTCACAGACTTTCCTGCTGAGGCTGGCTTTGAACAGTGATCCTCAGATCTCAGCCTTCTGAGTAGTTAGGATTACAGGTGTGAGGCATCAGTAATTGGTTTCCTTTTTTTTTCTTTTTTTCTTTTTGCAAATAGTCCCATTCAGACTTTTAACTAAAGCATAGAAGCTGGGGGATGTGGCTCAAGTGGTGGAGCATTCCCCTAGCCAGTATGAGGCTTTGAGTTCAAACCATGCCAGTATAATAAAAGATCAAAAACTTTTCTTTATATTAACCATCTGGTATGTACTGCATCAGCTTTTCTTTCTTTATTTTCCCTCCCCGCTCTCCTATGTGGCATTTGAACTCAGTGCCCAATACTTACTAAGTAACGAGGTGCTCTACCACTGAAGCCATACCCTAAGCATTTTTCTTTTTGTTTTAGGTGTTTTTCCAATAGAGTTTCTTGCTGGATCCAACTGTACTTCCTGTTTAGCTAGGATTACAGATGTGAACCACCGTACCCAGATTTTTTTTTTTTTTTTTTTTTTGTCAGTCATGGGGCTTGAGCTGGGCCTGGGCACTGTCCCTCAGCTCTTCAGCTCAAGGCAGGTGCTCTACCACTTGAGCCACAATGCCATTTCCAGTTTTATGGTGGTTAATTGGAGATAAGAGTCTCAGGGACTTTACTGCCCAGGCTGGTTTTGAACTGGGATCCTCAGATCTCAGCCTCCTGAATAGCTAGGATTACAGGCGTGTGCCACTGGCGCCGCCAGCTTGTTTTTTGAGAAAGGGTCTCAATTTTTTTTTTCCATCCAAGCTGGTTTCAAACTATGATCCTCCCATCTTTGCCTCTCACAGGAGTGAATCACCATGCCTGGCTCTCTATCAGCTCCTTCTTTTTGGCAGTACTGGGGCTTGAACTCAGGGCCTGTACTTGCTATGCAGACACTCTACCCACTTGAGCCACACCCCCTAGCCCTTTTTTGCCTTCATTATTTCTCGAGGAGGGTTTCACATGTATGTGATCTGCCTGGTTACACTTCTCACTTGGCTAGGATGACAAAGACCACCACACCACCTATCAATTGACTGAGATGGGTAGCCTCACATTTTTTCCTAGATTGGCTTTGAACTACAATCTTCTGTTCTCTGCCTCCTGAGTAGCTAAGGTTATAGGAATGAGCCACTGGTACCCAGCTGCTGGAACCTTTTGTTCATTTTTGAATAGGGTCTTGCATATTGCCTGGGCTAGTCTGTACCACGATCCTGCTCTTTATGCTTCTGTGAAGCTAGGATGACAGGCATGCACTGCCATTCCTGGCTTTTTATTATTTTAAGACAGAAATCCCCCTCCCCGACAATCTAGCCTTGAACTGTGATACTCCTGATCTCAGCCTCCCAAGTAGCTAGGATTACAGGCATAAGCCTTTTTGTTTCTATACAAACATAGGAGTAAGTGTATGTAACAGGGCATATGTGGTATATGCCTACTCTGATATCCAGTCCTACAATTTACTTTGATTTTTTTCCATTAAGAGCATACCACAAGGGCAACTCACAAGGGGTGTTCTTACCACACCAGCTCAAACAGGGAAATTCAGGGCCTCATAACCACCAGGGAAGGAAGGTGAGCCCCTAGGGACTTATAAGGCTTAGGTTTTCAGGTAGACCTGAAGAGAGGGCCCATACTGGAAACCTACACTAGCCCTGGAGGAAAACGTGCCTGGCTCAAGAAACCCTGAGGGCTGGGAAGGTGGCTCAGTGGTAGAGCGCTTGCCTTGCATGCATGAGGCCCTGGGTTCAATTCCTCAGCACCACATAAGCAAAAAGAAAAAAAAAACCGGAAGTGGCGCTGTGGCTCAAGTGGTAGAGCGCTAGCCTTGAGCTGAAGAGCTGAGGGACAGCACCCAGGCCCAGAGTTCAGGCCCTACGACTGGACCCGAAAAAAAAAAAAAAAAAAGAGACCCTGAGAGGGTGGAGCTGACTGTACACAGCTTGGCCATATTGTTGCTTAGCATATAGTATGCCTGAGTAGGCATGTCTGGGCAGGCTATGCATGTTAAGCATCGTCCTAGGCTGCCATGTGAGCCACTGGAGTGGTCTGGAAGGTTTCTGCTGAGCTGGGTACACAGGATGGGTCACACCCAACATCAGTGCTTGGGAACCAGCCTCTGTGCCAGCCAGGTAGAGAACACACGAAACATCCAGAATAACCAGGGTGTGCCAGATCTTCTGTTCTCCCTAGCAGCATCAACAGTGTGGCAAATGTAGCTCTTAGCACTCTGCTCTAGGAGTCGATCCTGTCTGGACAGGTTGTGGATGTCCATTATTATGACCAATAATCTCAACAAAGCAGAAAGCAGAAAGTGCTATGTGGAGTTGTGGGTTAGAATGTCAGGCACAGTGTGGGATAAGCCATCTAGAGAGAAAGCCTCATAAGTGATTGAGGGACACAGAACTGCTGGCTAGCCTCATCTGGGACGATGAGGACAGGCCGTGAGGAGCTGCTCTGGAGAAAGAGTAGACTTGCATCCCGGCTCCCCAGTAACTGGTTGCATGATCAAGGGCAAAGAGAAATTGCTTCCTTGCTGCTCACTGGAAGTAATCCACTAGTCACTAGCTATAGTTAAATGAAGTGATGGGTATCAATCACTTGACACAGTGACTGTCATGCAATGTCATGCAATATACACTCAAATGATACTTATGACCGTGACTGACAGAACTCCCTTTGGGCACACAGACATCTAGGCCTTCTGGGGCAACACTCCTGGCCACATCCAGGGCCATTCCGGTTTCATGGCCTGTGCCCAGGCGACAGTGACAGTGCTGTGCTGGTATACAGGACAGTTTCAATGTTCCTGAACAAGGTGCTAGGTGGCAGGGGTCAGGCTGGAAGTTAAGGAAATGTAGCAACTAGACCCTCTGAAGCTACAAGGCTCCCAGACAGCTCCATTTCTTGCCTCTTCCAGGCCTACAAAGGGACCCATCTTCTGCCTTGTTGGGTCCTTGATTCCCAATGCCTATGGAAGGAGATAACACTGGGTAGGAGCCTCTATGTGGGGACGTGAGGGGGATAAAGCCTTTCCTTGTCCGCCCCAACTCCCTGGATCACCATCTAGCTTTCCACAGAACCACTGGGATCTCTGGGCCATGGCCCTGAACTCACCCTGGTCGATAGAGTGCTGAGGCAGTTGGCTGAGCTGGCTGCTGACCACCCCGGCGTAGGTGCGCAGGAACTCCTCCTCACTGGCCGTTAGCTGCAGGGTGAGAGCACCATTGTAAGGGGCAGCACATACCTGCTCCCTGGAAGGCCCTGGCCCAGGCCTGCCTGCCCCCACTGAGTGCATTTCCTTTGGCTCTGTGGGCCCTTCAGTCCCAGCGTGAGCACTCTCTCCTCACTAGACACCTGTTCCCTGGGCCTATAGGCCTTGCCACTTGGACAGTGTCTGAGATCGGTGTCTAGTCTTGGTACTGAGCCAGGGGAAGACGTAGGTCCTGCTCAGAGATGATGGTCAATGGGAAATTCCAATCCCTTCTCTTTTCTAAAGTTGGCCACACCTGCTTGTCTGCTGTTCTCCTCAGTGCCTGCCTTGCCCAGCTGCCCTGCACATGCCCTCCTGGGAGAACACACTATGAGGGGTTGGTGGAGGGGAAGACAGGAGGGTCAGGGCCTTCAGGGCCTTCACCCTCCTGGGCCCAAACATGTCACGTCAGTGGGAAGGCTACCCTCCGCGGTGCCTCAGAAGTGGGCAGGCTGTGCTCTCTCCCGGGGGGGGGTGGGGGTGGGTGCTGAACTGCACACAGAGCTAAGCCATAGGCCCACAATTCCTTCCCAGACCAGTGCAGCCACCCCATAGGTGGCTGGGCATGGCATCCCTTCCAATTCAGGGCAGCAGGTACCCTCCCCGGGAGGCTGTTCCCCACCACACACTCACGTTTGACCCCATCTTCCTCAGCATGAGCAGCACGCGGACTTTCTGCTGAATGTACATCTCCTCCGGACTCTTCCCGGGTGCTCCCTCACGGTTCATCCCCCTGCCCAGCTCCGGGGACTCCTGCAGAGGACAGGGCAGCACTGGGGAGAAAGGTGGTCAGAGTGAGACATACTCATGGATCGATGCTATAGGCGATGCGCGTCTTTCCCACGTAGGCCCTTCCCACCTGACGTCTCACTTCTGGAGGCGATGGTGAGCTGCCCAGTCCCACTCTTGCCCTATCCACTCCAATGAACCTGTTTCACTCAGCAGCTTATTCCCGGGCAGGGGCTGGAGGAAGCTGCTGGGCAAGCCTGCCACTTCTGTGCATAAGGCTGTTAAGTTGGGGAGAGAGCAGACCAGACTTCAGGCCAGCTTTAGCTTCCAGCTTCCCCACAGCAAGACTCCTACCAGGGCTGCAGAAAATGCAGAGTGCATGAAAAGCAAGCAACTGGCACATCTGCAGAAGTAGTATGATCTCAGGTGGCTGGCTTGGGCATTTGGCTGAGATCAGTGCCCAGCCCCCAGACCTAGAGACAGCTCTCTGTACAGAAGCCCCTGCCGAGTTCAAGAGGCCAGCTCCTGGGCTGGGCTCCAAGAAGTCCTTCAAGGGGGAGAGGAGGCCCCAAGGTAGAGAGGCAGAGGCACTGACAGAGTTGGCTTGCCCCTGTGCTCACAAACCCACCCCACCTGTCACAGGGCAGCTGTTAAGGCCAGCAGTTGTGTCCAGGTGTTTCAGGCCTGACGTGCAGCTAGGCACCGGGAGAGAAGCCCAGGGCCTCCTCCAGGAGGAGCTGGAGGAGAGAGGCGAGTGTGGAGGGGCTTGGGTTACACACTTGTAACTCCTGGATGAGTCAGAAATAACACAGCAGCAGCTGGTGTGTGTAGGGGGGGAAAGTTCATCAGTCCCGGAGCCAAGGAGCTGCACAAGGAACTAGGAACAGGGCTGACAGGCCAACACTCCTCACTCCTGATGTGGGCTGCCCTCAAAGGCCTGCAAGCCCTAGACGAGGGTTTCACCCAGGTAGGACGGCATTCTGTGCCAGAGCCTGGGCCTGGGCCTGGGCAGCAGCCGCCTCCCTGTCGACAGTTATCAATGCTCATCCCCCAAAACCTAATTCCTTACTGGTCCTAAAAAATTGGGCCAAGAGCCGGGTGCTGGTGGCTCATGCCTGTAATCCTAGCTACTCAGGAGGCTGAGATCTGAGAATCACAGTTCAAAGCCAGCCCCGGGCAGGAAAAGTCCATGAGACTCTTATCTCCAATAAACCACCAGAAAATCATAAGTGGCACTGTGGCTCAAGTGGTAGAGCTCCTGCCTTGAGCTGAAGAGCTGAGGGACAGCGCCCAGGCCCAGAGTTCAAGCCCCATGACCACCACCACCAACAACAAAAATAATGGGTCAAGTAGGGCTACATTATGGCTGTGCACATTATGCAGCTTGGGGCTTATTCCAGATCCTTCCTTCACACCTTTAAATGCCCAGACTCCAGGTGCTTTTCTTCTACTGTTTGCAAATAACAACTTGAAAAACAGGGAAAAAGGAGCAACTGCCTCAAACATTGTCTTGGGGGGAACATGCCAGCCTTCAGACAGCCCTTACTTCCCAAAAGGCTGTGCAGAAAAGTGTGGTTCTAGGGTAATACTTCTCCAGTCACACCATTCTCTTCTGCACTCACATAACACTGTTGACCTGAGGTGGGACCCTATACAAACACACAAAGAGTGAGCCATATCTTGAGCGTGGATCGTGTGACCTTATCTCCTCCCTGATGGCCCTCACCACTTCCTCCTTACCTTCACTTCCTCTCCTCTCCTTTCCCCTAATTAGTAGACAGAACCATTTAAAAAGATCAGAAGAGGGCCAACTGGACACTGGTGTCTTATGCCTGAGGTCCTAGCTATTCAGGAAGTTAAGAGCAGATCAGTTCAAAGCCAGAACATGCAGAAAAGTTCTCAAGACTCTATCTCCAATTAACCAGTAAAATGCTAGACTACAGGTGTGGTTCAAGGATTGGGTGGGAAAAGCCGAGCAAGAACACAAGGCCCTGAGTTTAAGCTACTGAATAAATACCAGAAGAGATGACATCACTCCCTGCCTAATCCTACCAGAAAATACACACTTCACCCATGCTCCTGATCTAGTCCGCCTCTCCCTACTCCTCCTCTTGGATGTCCCCACACACAGAATCCTCTGAGCCTGGAATTGGCTTCTGATCAAACTCCACTTGAGCTTTCCTCTCCAGAGAAGCTTCTGACAGCAAAATAGAACCTGATTCTGTGCCCCACCCCAGTCTTCCTGGTTATAGGCCTGTCAACAGTGTCCCAGTTTTCTGAGTACCTGCTTATCATCTCTCCCATGCCTTGCTAGAAGACCTGGGCTGTATCCACTTTACTTCCCCCATCATCCTGGAGCCTGGAACCTGGCAGGAAGCGTAGTCAACACTGCCCAGTTAGTTGAGTGAACAGGGCAACAGCCTACAGTATCTAAGCTTCCTCATCTTTATGATATTTACAATTCAGAACCAAATGTATTGTTGGAGGGTAGCTTCTGCAAGCAGCTCTGAAGGCTAGCAGCTGTGTCCTGATGCCATGGCGCTGACCTGTAGTGAGGCACCAGAGACACCCAGACCCTCACAAGGAGGCGCTAGAAGAGAAAGGTAGATAATCCCAGTCGCTTATGAACAAATTTAGCTTTTCCAAAGAACTCTAATTTCCAACATACTTGGTTGCCTGAGCTACTATATTCTCCAGAGGACATCAGGCATGTTCCTCCAAGCCTTGAAACCGTGAAGCAGGGATCCCAGGAGCAAAAACCTTCCAATTCTGTCCTGAGCCCAAGGGCTAGTTTACGACTGTGAAAGACACGAAGGGATGCAAGAGACTGGCCACTAGGTGTCGCCCCACCCAAGACCGCTTGAGTTGCAGGGTGTCCTTATCACCCCATAGCTAGTATGGGAAACAGGTGCCTTGCAGGGGCTGCCTTTATTCTAAACCACTGTTACAAATCACATCCAGTCAGCCTGGCTCCATTCATTCCAAACGCCAGCCCTATCCGGGCAAGGAGTGGTCTGGCTTGTGCTGTCCTGTCCGTGGGACCTCTTTCTTGTTGCTGGAAGCACGCGAGGGTGAGACTAGGGCATCTCTTCTGCATCATGGAATCATTTCACGCAGGGCCCACATTACAAACAATCCTACCCTCTCCCCGGGGAATGGCTTGTCATCTCATCCCCTTGCCCGTGGCAGCCTAGTTCCCAGGACACCTCATATTGATTTTGAAGGGTTGATGACTGCTCGCAGCCATAGCTTGAGTTGTCAGCCAGAGTTGACTGGGTCTTTGGAGCTGATCATTTCCACTTCAACATATTTCCCTGGCAGAGCTGTTTGTTCCTCCTCCAGGAAACTCCTCATTTGACATTTCTACAAATTCTGGTCACCTAGCATTTTCAAGCTCTTGCTTTCAGCTGATTCTTCCTGCCTAGGGCTGGATCTGGGGCAGAACATGACCAGAAGTGCATGTTTATACCCTTCACACACCAGCTTAAATGCTCTAGAAATGCCGTGATGCATTGACATGATTCTGTCCTAATCTGCAATAAGGATGTCAATGTGACGAGAATTAATAATTGAAAAGGATAAATCATAATCAACTCAAACAACACAGGCATCGCAGCCAAGGGTATACTACAAGCATATCACAGCATGTTGAAGTTTGTTGCCTAGCCAAGCAAATGTGCTATTAAATTTTCATCACAATTGTGACAAGCATCACATTAACTTGAAATCGAGAATTCTTATTTCTCCCTGTAGTAAAAGAACTGGTCTCCATTAAAACATGTGTAAATTACATAAGCTCTGCTACTAATTTAGATGCTAATTATTCATCCAAATTTAAGAATCAAAAATAACGATGCTTCCCAATTGTGGTCTTGGCTATCCCTATCATCCAAAATAGGGCAGCACCTTCCTTCCAAATTTTTCCAAGAAAAATTCTCAGCATTAGTCAAAGATGAGCCAAGAGGGCTAGGAAGGTAGCTCAGTGGTAGAGTGCTTGCCATGCATGCATGAGGCCCTGGATTCCATTCCTTAGCACCCATAAACAGAAAAAGCTGGAAGTGGTGCTGTGGCTCAAGTGGTAGAGCGCTAGTCTTGAGCTGAAGAGCTGAGGGACAGCACTCAGGTCCAGAGTTCAGACCCCACGACTGACCAAAAAAAAGAAAAGAAAAAAGATTCACAGAGCAAACAACTGTGGAGCTGCAACTCTGAGAGGCCCCTGCACGCTCTGGGAGATACCCCAGATGTCTGCACAGATGCCACCCTGCCTCTACATGAACCTAATATTGACTACCACATGATCTTCAGCTTTTGAGACACTGATCTCACCTTAGAAGTCGGTACCTAGAGAACAAGACAAGAATGTGACATGCAGGCTGGCACCAGTGGCTCATGCCTGTAATCCTAGCCACTCGGGAGGCTGAGATCTGAGGATCGTGGTTCAAAGCCAGCAGGGGCAGGAAAGTCTGTGAGACTCTTACCTCCAATGAACCACCAGAAAACCAGAAGTGGCGTTGTAGCTCAAGTGGTAGCCTTGAGCTGAAGAGCTGATGGACAGCACCAGGCGCAGAGTTCAAGCCCCACAACCGACAAAAAAAAAAAAAAAAGAATGTGACACGCAGCCATCAGAGGCTGGGTGGCTTGGGCTATCTTCTGGGTTTCCCATCTTGGAAATGCAACTGATTCTGGTAAGAGCTTGGAAAGCTAGTTCCCCTTTGATGGGCTCAAGTGGCTCTGAATACAATCAGTTATCTGCACTTATTTTTTTTTTTTATTTATAAATGGGAACTAATGCTGTTTGTATACCCACAATTACATAAAGTAGAATATCTATACACATAGGAGTCTTGCACCTGCTAAGAAAATACCATATAACCTAGGCCAGGACAGACCACATGGATGAGTCCTTTAGGTACACAAGGCACTTGTGAATTCTGGGTCATAGCAATTGTCTCTTGTTTTGTACATTTAAAAATACACCATAAGAGCCAGGTGCCAGTAGTTCACACCTGTAATACTAGCTATTCAGGAGACTGAGATCTGAGAAGTGCAGTTCAAAGCCAGCCTGAGCAGGAAAGTCTGTGAGGTTCTTACGTTCCTCCACCATCAGGTAAACCCTACAGGAACCCACAAAGCAATTAATTGCTCTGTTATTCCTGCAGGTATCAAAGCATCAAAATACCAAGGAATCCCAAGAACTTCAACCCAAGTCTCCACCAAAAAAAGCTAAAATCGGAGCTGTGATTCAAGTGGTAGACCTGAGTACAAAAGCTCACGGACAGCGCCCAGGCTTGAGTTCAAGCACAGAACTGGCACGCACGCATGCACACAACACACACACATAGACACACACCACATATATCTATATGAGGACTGGGGGTACAGCTCAGCATTGGAGCTTTTGTCTAGCATAGGTAATACCCTGGGTTCCACCCTTAGCACTACAACAACAACAATAAAATACATCAAATGCTTACACATAAAAGGATATACACATTTTCACCAAGTTTCTATCAGACAAAAATACATCATCTAATTGTGTGACTAGTAGAGTTTATATAAAATATCAACCCAGAGTCTATACAAATCTTAGCCTGAAGAGAGGGCAACCCCACATTTACCTTATGAACCCACACATTAGAGGGGAGCAGCTCAGTGGAACAGCCTGTGCTGACTCTGCATAGGCCCTGGGTTCAGTGCCCAGGACCATCGAGGGGGGAGAAAGACCCCCTACATTCGAGGAATGTATGGTAAAGGAAATGGAGAAAGGAAACTTGGGGAGTTAAGCTGCTGGTCAGCCCTGCCTCTACCCAGCACTGTCCCATGACTACACAGCAGGCACCTTCCCCTCAGGTCCTTACCTGCTTCTGGAAATTAACTTCAGGCAAACAAGTGCTGAACTGTGAGGGCAAGGCTGCAGCCAGGAAGAAATAGGAAGGCGGTGCCCTGTGGAAACAGAACATGGGTTATGGGAGGAGTGGGAAGGCCCTGGAGGCCCATGTACACGCCCGTACTGAAGGAACCAGACTCCTGGCGGGAAGCTCATGGCCTGGGACTCTGCCAGAGTCCAGAAATACCTGTGTATCAGGCAAGCCCAGGGGACCTGCTCCAACACCTCCAGGACTAAGTGCTGACTGCAGCACACGGACCTGTCATTCCCGGCTGAAGCAGGTCGGCCTGTTTGACACCACACACCTCTCCCCTGGGTTAGTCATCAGTCTAGAGACATCATGGACCAGAATGACTCAGTGCAACAGCTGAGGGATGAGTCTCACATCTGCAAGAGATGATGCCCCACCCACCAAGCACACATGTGCGCCAACGGAGCATCTGTCCACCTGGGCCAACCTCAACCGGCACAGACACGTTATACATACCCAAAAGTACAGTGACACTTACTCACACGCCAGCCAGCCTAGCTGCAGTAGCCGAAGTGCTACTCAACACCCTTCCTCCAGGAATGGAAGAATACTGCTTTCTTTGCTAATGCCTCCCCACATAGCCCCTTCACCCGGCAGGCTACTACAGAGAAGCACAGCCGGCTGAGGGATGGGAGTAGGAGCCCTGCTGGCTGGCCCGCAGTGCACAGACCTCCTGAGACCACCTCTGAACCTACCTCTCAGAGCACCTTACTTAAAGGCAGCCTCTCAGCACGCGGGCCTACCGTAAGAGGCTTGAGGACATCACTAAGAAATGGGTTTTGTGGACAGCATAAGAGCTAGGATAGCTTGGAAAACCCTCCTCCACTGTCCTCAATGACCCTCTGTTTTTTGATGCTGATCCTAGCGCTTGAACTCAGGGCCTACATGCTGTCTCTGAGATTTTGTGCTCAAGGATAGCACTCTACCACTTGAGCCACAGTTCCATTTCCAGCCTTTTGGTGGTTAATTGGAGCTAAAGAGTATCACAGACTTTCCTGTCCAGGTTAACTGTGACTGTGATTCCCAGATTTGAGCCTCCTGTGTGGTTAGGATTACAAGTGGGAGCCACCTGCACCAGTGACTTTTGCCCAGAAAGCTGTGTGTGTCTAAGGGCTGAGAAAGATATGTTTTCCAGAGGAAGTGGGACTTCAAAGGCCTCTTCTAAAATCCAGCATCTCTCTAAGCCTCAGACCCTCTGCTGTGTGTGTCCTTCCATCCAGAGGATGGCTCTGGGAATGAAGAGCCACCATCCACCCTGCCACTCGCCTCTACCATCAGGCAAGCCCCACAGGAACCAACTATTTATAGCAACTAATTGCTCTGTTAGTCCTGCAGGTATCAAAGCATCAAAATACCAAGGAACCCCAGGAACTTCAACCAAATCTCCACATTCCTTCAAAAAGAGATGAAAAGAGAGTCTTTGCATACTTCTGAAGGACTTTAATTTCTTCAGTTACGGCGACGGCTAATTGTCTCTTCCGGCTATAAGGTCAGGCTCTTCCAAGGAGCAGAGGAGAGCTGTCATGCAGGACATTAAGGGAAGGGGTCAGAAGAACAGACTGACCAGGGGTGACCAGTCAACTGTCCCAGCTGTCATTTTAGAATTAGGTCAGAAAGAAAACTGAGGCTCAAGGTACCTGGGCCTGGCACAGGTCAGACCGTGAGTGTGCACCGGGAGCTGGCTCTGCCTCCGGTCAGCTACTACTGACTGGCTGTGCAGCCTGAGGCCAGTCAGAGACCCATCACCCTTCTCTGCTCTTTGCTTCACCATTCGTTCCTGGCCAGTCTCCCCGGAGGACATGAAATGAGAGACAGATAGCTTTATGGACTGAAGGCTGGGATGTGGCACTTGACCCCATATTTGGCTTTCTTCTTTGCTGGCACCACATACAAGGCATTTGTGGATTTCCTGACTGTGAGCTACCTAGCTTGCTTACTTCCTTTCCCTCCTTCTTTTCTTCTTCTTCTTTTATATTTTTTAAAGTACTGGGGATCAAAGCCAGAGGCCTCAGACACGCTAGGCAAGCTATATCCCTACCGCCCCACCCCCACTCTGAAATTCTTTTTGTTGTTGTTGTTGGTTGTGGGGCCTGAACTCTGGGCCTGGGCACTGTCCCTCAGCAATTCAGCTCAAGGTAAGCGCTCTTCTACTTAAGCCACAATGCCACTTCCAGCTTTTTCTGCTTATGTACTGCTGAGGAATCAAACCCAGGGCCTCATGCATGCAAGGCAAGCACTCTACCACTGAGCCACCTTCCCAGCCCCATTCTTAATGACTTTTGAGCAAAAAGCCCTACCCTGGATCCTACAAATTACACAGCTGATCTAGAGTGCAAAACAGAGGTCGAAGTGACTGCCAAGGGCCCTACAGCTGAGGTACACACTATCTGGACTCAAGAAGCTTTGTCAAACCATTCTAGGTACACACTGCACCAGGACTGGGGAATAGAGATACAGAAGGAGGCTATGATGCAGAACCTGCCTCCAGAGATGACCAAATGATTGAGGAAACCACATTACACCCAGAGAAGGCAGCACAAATAAGGTATGTCAGGTTAAAACATGAGCATTCTGAGTGTCAACCATAAAACCACACGCTGTTTCATGTGCTATCCCTGAGCTCAGAGACAGGAGGGAGAGCAAGAGGGTGACAAAGCTCTTCAAGAATACAGGGTCAGGACTAAGTTACCAATGACAGGGGGTGGGGGTACAGTCACTGAGCTGGCCTTTAATGGATGAATAGGAGTTGGCTTGAGGAGAAGAAGAGGAAGGGGCAGGGCACAGACATTCACCCAACAAGAGAGAATATACTAGATCCACTTGTGATAAGGGCATACATTACCAGTCAACCCCACGACAACGCATCTCCAACACTTTAACACACAGGATGGATGTGCAAGGAGCCTAGCGTATGCGCTGCTGAGAGCCAGGACGACAGCCATGGCTGTGAGAGAGGCTGCGTGGTCCAGTGATGGTGGAAAATAAGCCAGGCAGCTAGGACTGAGAAGTCCACATAGGTTCAGAAGCAGAAGGATGATGAGAGTAAGCAGGTGCTACAGTGAGAATCGCAAAGCATTCTGAATCCAGAATCCAATTAGGGACCAATACCGGGGTCTCCTGAGTAGTTCTGAGATGGAACAGGGCTTTTGGCAGAAGGGGGGTGAGGGATTGAACAGCAGTAGGCACCTCTTACACAACAACTCATGCACAACAGTGAGCACATAGGAAGGACCTAGGCTCTAGCAGGAACGCAAAAGGGCAAAGGTTGGTCTGGGGCCAGGATATCAACTGTGGAAGGTCCAGGCTGCCATGAGACATCAGGCCCTGGTCAGGGGGTGAGTGAGCAGAGTGAAGTGAGATTTGCTTGGCTCAGTATGACACCTGAGTGCAACTGAAGGACAAAGTGAGGAGAAGGACTCCAATTGAGAGCCGCTTCTAGGGAGGTGAGAGGATTGATTTCCAAGAAGGGAACATGAAGGACGAGAGAGGCCAGCCATGCTTGCCTGTGCACCCCCCCAATTCCATCATCACAGCACTTATTAAGCATTAACCCAGTGAGTACTAAGGAGCCCCCTCCCCACACCCAGCCCCAACAGTCAGGGATGCTTAGGCAGCATAACCCTTGGCTCCAAAGACAGGTCTGGGATCCCAGCTTCCTCTTCTTCTTCCACTGAGTGTGCCTTCCAGGAACTCAGAGGACCACCTATCACCTCCAAGGGCAGGACTGAGGTACAGTCTTATTGGCCTTTGTACCTGCCTGGCTCCTGAACTGCATGTGGTCTCCTATGACTAGCTTGAACCTTGTGCATAATCTCCCTTACTCCTATTTGCCTCCTCTACATGGGATCGGCTGACATAATGGAGGGGCTCTGCAAGATAGATACTGTGGGTGGTCTCCACAAAGACATCAAGGAAGAAAGAGGGCTGAAGATGCTGCGGGAATCGCATCACAAAGGACGAGACGGGTAGGAGTACAGAAAAGGCCCACACAGAGCAGAGTGGTTTAGGAAAGGCATGGCTGACTTGGCTAGGCCTCAATAGGGTGATCACCAAGCACTCACTCTCTTTGTCTCTGTGTGTGTTTCATATTGCTGTGGCAGTGGCTATGGTGACTAGATTTCAAGGCAGGATCACCTGGAGAACTGTACCAGACAATTGGGAAGGCCTCAATGAGCGCTGCCCAGGCCTTCCTGCTGCCCAGTGGCTTGGGGGAAGGAGGGAACCTGCTCAGTGAAGGACACCTGGGGTCTGGGCAGCATGGGCAGCCCTCTCTCCAACCACAGGACAGGAACTAAAAGGGAGACAGATCAGCTGCCTCTAGCATATAACCTGGAGGTATATATAAACCAGGATCTCGGGTTGTAGGCACAGTCTGCTACCCAAAGAAGCCCGAGGAAGATGGGGAGGGAGCAAGTTCCATCTTGCATGGTGGTCACACATGCTCATGTGCCCGTCTCCCATGACCGGCCTGAGCCAGGTGGCACTGAAGTGAGCCATAGTCTTTCTTCTCTATTCCACCTCTCACTGTGTGATACACAGAAATACGGTACAGATCATGCTAAGTCAAAAAAAGAAACACACAAAAGAACACAGAAACCAACACCAAGCAGTCACATAAACAGAGGCTGGAATTCTACGAAATGAGATTACTTCACACCAGGCAGTGCAGAGCTCTGCAGCCGAATACCAGACACCAGGGGAGGGGGCACCAGAGCGCGCTGTTGTAAGGCAGCATCCTGCCAGACACCAATGTGGCCTCGGGGAAATGTGTCCAATCATTCCATCAATAAACTTATGGAATACTTACTATGTGCTGCTTGTCAGTGAACAGTTAAAATTCGTTTTCTGTGCATTCTAGTCAGAGGGCAGATCAGACGGTAAAGAAAAAAGGAGTAATGGATAAATAACAGGTAGTGAGGGAAAGGGGGAAAGGGCAGGTATTATGATAAAACCAGCAAGGTGGGGCGACCAGGAGGGTTGGAGGGTGAAAACAGTGAGAGGGTACACTGGGAAGCAAAGCTGGGC